CTCTCCGGGGCGGGCCAGCCTGCAGAGGTGTGAGGTGTGACATCCAGGCTGTGAATAAGTAAGCAGCAGCCGTCCGCAGTGACCTGGTTCCCACATGACACCCCGGAGGGTCCGGTTCCCCGCGCGCTGGGGCAGCGTCTGGGCCGCGTGCCGGCACATTCATTATTCACCGCGTGCACCGGCCGCCCAAGGCCCACCCTTTGGCTGCACAGCAGGGGCGCTGGGGGGCACAGCAGGTCCGCTGCAGTCAGAAAACTGTGTCCAGCTCCTTTTTTTTTTTTTTTATAATAATATATTTTATTGATTTTTTACAGAGAGGAAGGGAGAGAGATAGAGAGCTAGAAACGTCGATGAGAGAGAAACATCGACCAGCTGCCTCTTGCACACCCCCCACCAGGGATATGCCCGCAACCAAGGTACATGCCCTTGACCGGAATCGAACCCTGGACCTTTCAGTCCGCAGACCAACGCTCTACTGCTGAGCCAAACTGGTTTCGGCTCCTTTTTTTTTTTTTTTTTTTTTTTTTTTTGTCTTATTGACTGTGTGGCCTTGGCCAAGCGTTAGACTTCTCTGAGCCTCCGTTGTACACATGGTCCTACCCGGGCTCAGACACCACCCTGCCACCTGCCAGCTGCCAGCCGCCGGCTGGGAGAACCTGTGCATGTGATTTACCGCCTCTGCGCCTGGGGGTTCTTACCCACAAGAACAATGCCTCTCCATGGGTGCCGGGTGGCTGAGGGTGAGGTTAAGAGTTGTCATTGTGCCAGGCCAGCGGGGCTCGGTGGTTGAGTGCTGACCTATGAGCCAGGAGGTCGCAGTTCCATTCCCTGTAGGGGCACAAGCCCAGGTTGCAGGCTTGATCCCAGTGGGGAGCGTGCAAGAGGCAGCAGTCAATGATTCTCTCTCACCATTGATGTTTCTGTCTCTCTCCCCTCTCTGAAGTCAATAAGAATATATTTTTAAAAAGGGTTGTCATCGTTATATTTTTAAATGAGCCCTTGTCCTCCGCCAGCTATTCTGCCCACCTTCCCTTTCAGGTCACATAAGGCCTGGCAGTCTCCACGTGATCCCCGGTGAGGAAGGCTGAGGCTGTGACCTTGGTGGACTTGCCCAAGTTCACACAGGTGCGTAGTGGTGGCAGAACAAGAATTCAAATCTAGGTCTTCCCACTTCTAAAATCCCATCTCAACTGGGTCAGGATGCTTTTCCCTCTGGAAAACGAAAAAAAAAAAAAAAAAAAAAAAAAGAAAGGAAAAAAAAGAAAGAGAAAAAAAAAGGTGTCTGCCCCTCGGGTGTGCTGTCAGGATTAAATAACATCAAGTCTGTGGAGAGGCCTGTCCTGTGCCTGCTCCGCTCGCTCCGCGCGGCTCAGTGGCTTATCCCCCAGGGCCATTCCTGAGTAATGAGGAGCTGCCTGGTGCCCACGGAGGGGCTGGAGGTGTGAGATCCAGTCGGCGCTGCCGAGTTCCCTTCGCACAGCCAAGCCCAGGCCTGCCAAGACTCCTTTCCTCGCTGCTTCTTCTGCGGCTCTGTCTCCCACTCACCCCTCCTCGCTCTCCAAGGGGCAGGCACAGCTCCCGTGCTGACAGCTCCAGCTCCAGCTTTGCACGGCAGGTACAGGGAGGACGGATGGCTGGCCGGCTATGGTGAGGCCAGTGTCTTCTGGCCTCCGGCACATGGTGTGATGTGGGAAGAAGGAGCCTGGCGGAGTGGGGAGCCTACATCATGCCTCCTATTGGCTTGGCACGTCCGCCCTCCTGCATAATGGATGAGCCCGTGGTAGGAACAGAATGCCAGCAGCGTGAGCCTGGCCACCACAGGCAGCACAAGTGTCCGGAGGCCCTGCCAAGGCCCAAGCTCTGGGCTGGCAGGAGCTGAAGAGGAGGAGGGAGCACGTGTCACCTGACGCCTTTCTGGGGCGGCCTCGCCGTGGGCCTCGGGATTCCGCAATGAAGATGGGGGCGTGCGGAAGACAGCCTCGCCCTAACCGGTTTGGCTCAGTGATTGAGCGTCGACCTATGAACCAGGAGGTCATGGTTCAATTTTAGGTCAGGGCACACGCCTGGATTGCGGACTCGGTTCCCAGTGTGGGGTGTGCAGGAGGCAGCCAATCAATGATTCTCTCTCATCACTTATGATTCTATCTCTTTCTCCCTCTCCCTTCCTCTCTGAAATAAATTATATATATATATATATACACACACACACTAAAGATCCAATGAACGAAATTCATGTATGGGTAGGGTGCCTAGGCCTGGCCAGCAATGAGGGCCAATCTGTGGGGTGATCGGGGGTCCTCTGCTGGCACCCGCCTTGGCCAGGCTGGTACTGCCTGCTCCAGTAGGCAATCGGGGGCCAGCACTGGCCTAATCACCACCAGTGCTGCATCCCCCCACCCATCACCTGGCCACCACTGCCGCTGATCGCCTCCCTCTGCGGGTCAACTGGCAGGGCGATTGGGGGACCCCCAGCTGGCATCCCCATTGGCTGGCCTGGGGCCTGTGGGCTGGAGGCAGCTCCTGCATTGAGTGTCTGCCCCCTGGTGGTCAGTGCATGTCATAGCGACCAGTCGTTCCACTGTTTGTTGGATTTGCATATTAAGATTTTATTATAAAGGATATTTTAAAAGAAGACAATCTGACTCTATCTTAGAATCAACAATGGTGACGTTGGGACAGCCGGACTCCAGTTTCCTGAGCTTGAAGCCCCCTCTTAGGGGCTCAGGGTGGCATCCAGGGGCACCTCGTGTGGTTGAAGATGAGATTTGGACAGAGGGCCAGGAACCTGGCGGTTTCTGTGGCTCCTCATGGAGCAGGCAAGCCCCGGGCAGCAGCCGGGATGAGGCGCCCTGGATGGAGAACATGGGCACAAGCCGGCATTTGGCAACGAGCTTTCGGGGAAACGGCAGCCTGTGTGTAGAACCAAGAAGGTCCGGAATGAAAGCAGGCGGTCTGAGTGCCTCGGCTCCCTGACAGCCACGGAACCAGGGCAGCTGGGTAACAGCACTTTGTTGGTGGATGCAGTTGAATTCCATTCATTCACAGAATCAGGCGTTACTCACTGGAGATGCCCAAGACCAGGCCAAGTGCTAGGTCCTGGGACATGGGGACAAATCAGACCCAGGTACTCACAGTGTGACCGGGGAGCCAGGCACCGGGGTGGAGGATTCAAATGCCTTCTGGTAAAGTGAGAGGCAGGTATATGGTGCCCAAAGCGGCCACCTCTGCCGGAGGCTGGGAGGAAGAATCCCTGGGGCAACCTGAACTGAGGCTTGAAGGATGGAGCCGGAGTTCAGCAGAAGGGGAACGGGGAGGGTGCGGTGCCAGCAGAGGGAACAGCATCTGCAAAGGCGTGGAGCTGTGAGGCCCGGTGAACTGGCTCAGGAACCCTGACGGGCCCTATGATGGAACCTTGAAGGAACTGATGGGGCGCAAAACTGTCTTATTTGTGTCTGATCCCCCTCCCCCAGGAGGAGGAACGTAAGCAACGCAAGGGGAGGGAATTTGTCTGCCTCAGAGCCTGGCGCAGTGCTCCGCCCAGTGGCAGAGGCTTGAGGATGAGTCAGCCAGAGGCAGGCAGGACCCAGACTGGAAGGTGTTGACAGTCAGCAGAAGCATTTGGGCTTTATCCTGGAGTCAGCCAGGAGCCTCCCCAGGTTTAAAAATAGAAAAGGAACAAGATCTGCTGCGGTGGAAGGAAATCGCTTTGACAATGAGTGATGGTTCAAGAAATCAGATTATGAAGTCTTTTTTAAAAACAAAACAAAACAAAAAACCACACACATATTTTTATTGATTTCAGAGAGGAAGGGAGAGGGAGAGAGATAGAAACATCAACAATGAGAGAGAATCATCGATAGGCTGCTTCCTGCCAGTCACCACTGGGGATGGAGCCTGCAACCTGGGCATGTGCCCCTACAGGGAATGGAACTGTGGCCTCCTGGTTCATAGGTTGATGCTCAACCACTGAGCCACGTCACCTGAGCAGACTGAAGTCTTCAGTTAGGGGACTGTCGATACAAACGGGTGGGGTCCGGTTGAAAAAATACTGAGAATAACTCCAGACAATTAAGAAGTAGCTTTGATTTTTAGTGTCCCTGTGAGGTAGGTGCTCCCCCTTTTCCAGAGGAGGAAATGGACTCAGTGAGGCCCAGTGGCTTGACCAAAGACGTCACACAGCAAGTTGGTGTTGTAGCTGAGGGGGGAAGAGGGTCCTGGAGGTCAGAGCACAGGCAAGAACCAACCAATAAATAGGCAAGAATAAATGGAACAAGAAATTCTCTCTCCCAGAAACCAATTTGGCTCAGTGGATAGATGTCGGCCTGCAGACTGAGGGGTACCAGGTTCGATTCCGGTCAAGGGCATATACCTTGGTGGCGGGCACATCCCCAGTGGGGGGTGTGCAGGAGGCAGCTGATCGATGTTTCTCTCTTGTCTGTTTCTGAGTCTCTATCCCTCTCTCTTCCTCTCTGTAAAAAATCAATAAAATATATTTTTAAAAAATTCTCTCTCTCTCTCATCAATTAAAAAAAAAAGCTGCTATCCTCAGAAAATCACCGGCAGTCACGAGTATCTATTGTGCTTAGGAAAGATAATTTTGCACATAATGAAATGCAATTATAAGGGCATAGTCACAGAAATGTAGCTATTCTTTTTATAATAAAAGCTACATTTTGAAACTATAGTTGGAATGGGTATACGATCATGATACAAGGAATTGTAACCAATAAATAACCTTGACAGATGTGTATTAAAAAAAAAAAAAAAGAAAGAAAGAGCCGAAACCGGTTTGGTTCAGTGGATAGAGCGTCGGTCTGTGGACTGAAAGGTCCCAGGTACGTTGGTTGCGGGCACATCCCCGGTGGGGAAGGTGCAAGAGGCGGCTGATCGGTGTTTCTTTCTCATCGACGTTTCTAGCTCTCTAGCTCTCTCCCTCCCTCTCTGTAAAAAAATCAATAAAAATATATTTAAAAAAAAGAAGAAAAGAAAAGAAAAAAATCATCGGCAGAAGCGAAGCGGGGAGAAGGAAGTTTGGGTCTCTGCAGCCGCCGTAGAAGCAGCGCGCAGTTTCTATGGCAACGGTAGGAAGCCCGGGAGGTTTGCGGACTGCGCGGCCCCCGCGGCCCATTGTACCCACCGCGGCGCGGAGTCCGTGGCCGGCCCGGCGCCGCGGGTGCAGGTGATGGGGGCGGTGGGTGGAGGGCCTGGGTGCGGGGGCAGCAGGGGTGCGGCCTGGGCCGGGGCGGGCCCCCGGATCCCGGGATGCCATCTCCGCCGTCCGGACCGGGGCCGTCGCTGGGCCTGTCCCCGAGCGGGGAGTGGGGGCAGGGAGTGGGCACCATCCCGGCCCCGCTCGGCCCCTGAGCCCGGACGCGCTCTGCTTTGCAGCTGCTGAACCGACGCGGCGTCCTCCCCATGGACGTGAGTCCCAGCCCCCGACCCCGCCCTCGCGCCCTAACCTCGTCCCGACGTGGCCGGCCTGAAGGCCGGACAGGAGAGGGGGCTCTTTGCTCAACATAAACCCTCCCGCTCAGGACCGGAGTGTGGGAGAGTGCCAGGGAGGGGGCTCCCCCAGGGGGGCATCCCGCCCTTCCAGGCCAGAGTTTGCCAAGTAACCGCCGAGGGAACAGTATGGGTGGAGGCCTGGGGGTGGGAGGGGACAGGGCATTGGGGGGCCGCTGGGACCTAAGCGCGGCTGGAGAGTAGAGAGGGAGGCGGTGGATGGGGCTGGACCCGGGCTTTTGTCTCGGAGATAAGTTTGGACTCAGTCATGAGGGCCGCGAACGGATGGTAAGGAGAGGGGAACACCCCAGGACAATTCCTGTGGAAAGGGGCAACATGGCAGGCTGGGAGACGGCTCCGGGGCAGCTATGTGGGCTGAGGGCTGGTAAAGAATCCGGGACAGCAGGTCCGTTGGGGGAGACCTTCCGAGAGGGAGTTCAGTCAGTGTTGATGAAGTCTAGAATGACCAACAAGCCCCGTGTGGGACCGAAATGGGGATGACGGGGAAAGAGGAGGTTTGGGGGACAAGAATGTGTAGTCCTGTGGAATCACCCTCCATCCGGTGGCTGCTCCTCGCCCGTTTCCGGCCACCTCCGTGTCCCTCCTGGTATTTGTGTCCCTGCAGCCCCTCCTGCCTCCTCGTCACCCCTTCCTCCTGTGCTCACCCAGGCCTCCTCCCCTTGGATCCCCACCCCGGCTCCCGTCGGCAGTCCTTCCTTGCTGCTCCCCATCCCCGCCATCGTCTTCATCGCGGTGGGCATCTATCTGTTGCTGCTAGGCCTCGTGCTGCTGACGAGGCACTGCCTGCTGGTGAGGAGCCTCGCGGGGCCGAGGGGTGGGCTCTGGAAGAGGAACCCGGTTACCCTGTGCCCTCGGCGGCAGGCCCTTCTTCCGAGACTCCTTTGCCAGACAGTCCCCCCACCTAACCCTTCCCCGAGACCAGAGCTCCTCCTCCGCTGTCTCCTGCCGAGCCTTCTCTGCCCCTCTCCCCAAAACTTTATCTTGGCTGTCCCTCCCCGCCTCCTGGGCCGGATCCTGAGCCCTTCCCTTTCCTAGGCCCAAGGTTGCTGCACGGATTGCAGCTCCCCCTGCAGGAAGCAAGGCGCCTCCAGGCCCCAGGACTGCTGCTGGACCTGTGCGGAAGCCTGCGACTTCCCCCTGCCCAGCCCCGCTCACTACCTGGATGCCTGCTGCCCCCAGCCCACTGAAGCTGTGAGTGTCACACCGACCCCTCAGCCCCGGGCCGGATCTAGGCACCATCCGCACACTGATTTTTGTTGTTGTTGTTGTTGTTCCACATTCATTATTCAGCACAATTCCAGTACTGGAATTTTTACCCGTGGAAACAGCCAGAAACAACATATCAGATCATTTCTAGGGAGGAAACCTGCTTGGAAAAAGGAAAGCAGGGTATCAGCCGGAGAAAGGTGATGCGTGTAACGGGTAGAGCATACAGTCACCTCTGAGAACGGTAGTGGAAAGAAAAAACACCTTCTCACAGAGCTCATCCTGTTCACTGAGTGAATACTACGTTCCATTATTAGTTTCTCAACAACACTGGGAGCTGTATATTTTATAAAACCTGTATCTATTTATTTCTGTGCATGGGAAACACATAGAGAATATAAGGTTCTTTATAAACCAGCTCTCTAACCGAGGTTGCTGTTTTGGATATGACCCTCATATATAGTACCGACATACTCTATTATCACTGCTGTATTTTACTATTATTTGGTAAAAATGGGTCATACCACATATGTCATCACAACTGCTACTTACTCTTTTTTTAAATATATTTTTTAACTGATTTCAAAGAGGAAGGGAGAGGGAGAGAGATACAGAAACATCAATGTTGAGAGAAAACCATTGATTGGCTGCCTCCTGCATGCCCCCCACTGGGACCCAGCCTGCAGCCCTGGCCTGTGCCCTGACCGGAATCCAACTGTGACTTCCTAGTTCATAGGCAACGTTCAACCACTGAGCCACACTGGCCGGGCAATTTACCCTTTTCAACTAACCTCACACCTCGGTCACCTATCTGTGCCCGTACATGTAGGAAGGTAAGCATTCGTATCCCCCTTTGCAGGGGAAAAACTGGCCTAGGGAAGGTTAGCCGCTTCTCCGACACCCCACAGTAGAGTTTTGCACAGCAAGTTGTTCAGTAGAGAGTGAGAGTCCTCAGGGCAAAGCCTGGTTGCAGGGGACAGGCCATTGGCATTTGTGTAACTGACCGCCTTCCAGGCAATCATCATTTAGGGCTCAGAGATTTAGACAATAAAGCTGCTGCCCTTGAAGAGGTGACCTTCCCCAGGAGGGACGAGTGAGGCCAGAAGACGGAGCAGATTCATAATGCGGACTGACTGTAGTTGGTGCATTGAAGTCTCGGTTCTTCCGTTTCCTTAGGAACATAACAATCACAAATATTACCCCCTTCTCGCCTACTTCACAGCTGTTGAAACTGCAGCTCTCAGAAGCTTGAGTGACTGTGCCAGGACAGAAACCTAGATTTCTGTTACCAAGTGTCTAATTCATTCATTATTTATTCACTTAACCAGAGATTTATGGAGTCATTGCTGAGGCCCTGAGCTGGGCCCAGCGGGCTCAGTGGGAACAGGGCAGACATGGTGAAGGCCAGAGAGGAGGAGGCAGGCCACTAAACAGAGTGTGAGAATCGGTGACACATGCAGGTTCTGAGCCCTGTCTGATTGGAAGCACACACCAGAAAGGTCTAGGATGGGACTGATTAGAGTTTGTGACATTTAAAATAAAATGCATGCTGAGACCGGTTTGGCTCAATGGATAGAGCGTTGGCTTGGGGACTGAAGGGTCCCGGGTTCGATTCTGGTCAAGGGCATGTACCTTGGTTGCGGGCATATCCCCAGTAGGGGGTGTGCAAGAGGCAGCTGACCGATGACTCTCTCATCGATGTTTCTAACTCTCTATCTCTCTCCCTTCCTCTCTGTACAAAATCAATAAAATATATTAAAAAAATAAATAAAATAAAATTTTTTTTAAAAATGCATATTTTATTGACTTAGAGAGGAAGGGAGTGGGAGAGAGATAGAAATATCAATGATGAGAGAAACCCATTGATTGGCTGCCTCCTGTATGCCAATTAATTGAGCCCATAACCCAGGCATGTGCTCTGTGACTGGGAATCAAACCATGATCTCCTGGTTCATAGGTCAATGCTCAACCACTGAGCCACACCAGCTGGGCAGAGTGTGAATTTTTAACAAGTTTTCACATGGTCCTGCCCCACCTACAAGGGTAAGAGCTGCTCACTTACTGCGTGCTCACTAAGCATCAGGCATTGTGCTCCGTCCTTCCCTCTGATTCCGCACGATGACCTGAAGAAGTGGGCCCGGAGCAGAGGAAGTTGAGGCTTAAAACATGAATTAGCCAAGCCTGGGCCTCAACTAGCCTCAAGGCTGAGCCTGGGCTCCAACCAGTGCAGGTGGCTGGCCTTCCCTACATCGAAGAAGAAATCGGTGGCACACTCAGCCAGGGAAACACGGGGTTAACAGTCTGCGAGCTCTGTTTAATGTACTTAACCAGCAGATTCCTTCCAGAAGCCGCCTGGCTGCCTGCAGAGCTGAGAAATGCATTAGCCAGTCTTTAATGACTAGCTCCAAGGGACAGAGCCAGAAAGCTTTTAATGCCCTCTTCTCTGGAGTGAGGGCAGGGGAGCCTCTCTCGCCACCAATTTTGTGCACAGAATGGCAGCGTGGTCCTCCAAAACCCCACAGAGCTGACTTCATCCCCAGGCTGGGGCTCCCCAGAGACACCCCAAATCTATCTCTCTCTCTCTCTCTCTCTCTCTCTCTCTCTCTCTCACACACACACACACACACACACACACACACACACACGGCGAAACCACTGTGCTCTCTGTCCCTTCCACCATGACACTCTCAGCCTCCTCCTTGGCAGCCAGTTCCGGTGGCAGTAGACCCCTCTGCCTGGAGATAGGTCCCTCCTCCTCACAGGCGCCCCAGTGATATCTGATAGTACCAGCCATCCGGCCCGCACCCCAAAACCTCAGCTGTTCAAAGGTCATTCTCCTATTCCTGGCTTGGCCCAGGGTCTGATCCCTGCAACTGTGGCTGTCACTAGCTCTGCCTTGGGGCTCAGGATGCCAGTTTGTCACGCAGCCTGTGCGTGTCCACTTGGCCTGACTCCACTCAGTGCCTGAAGCAGTCTCACATCGTCTCTGCCCAGGACGGGGAGGACTCGCCGGAGTCGGCTGGCCTCCTTGCTGTCTCTGGGACATGCTGTTCCTGTTCCCCGAGACAGACCTCCTGTTTCTGGACGGAGCAGCTCTTCTTTCTCCTCTGCCTACAGAGGGAGGAAATACGTGCTTTGGTTTATCCATTCATCCCACTTCTCCGGTGGCCTTAGGCGAGTCTGCTAGCAGTTCTCAACCTGCTGTAGAGCCTAAGACCATCGGAAAACACAAATAGTTACATTATGACTCATTAACAGTAGCAAAGTTACAGTTACAAAGTAGCAACGAAAATAATGTTATGGTTGGGGGTCACCACAACATGGGGAACTGTATTAAAGCGTCGCGGCATTAGGAGGGTTGAGAACCACTGGTCCAGGGGATCTAAGGACGGGGAGCAGGCAGCCGAGGTGCCTCCAGCAGCATTCCCTGGATGTGTTCCTTCGGGCAAACGCTCCACTCTCAGAGCCTCCATTTCCTCAGGGCTCTGACGATTAGGAGATATGACTTTTTGAGACGTTCACAATTTTAAATATGCAAATTACCATTATTAAAGAACACTTGAGAGAGTTTAAAAACTCATTCATGAATGCAGCCTGTGCCTTGCACAGAGTAGGTGCTCTGAAACCATGAATGAGATCCTGCAGTTTGGTCTCATGGCAGGGGATAAATCCACAAAACAAACAAGTCGTTTTCATCATGGGCAGAAAATGCGTGTGTACTTTCCCTGTCCTCTGACTTCCAATTACACTGGGCCGCACTAGGCTGCACAAATGCAGTAGAACCATCACTGAGCTGAGGCTGGGACACCAGAGTTCTAGCATGGGACCAGGCCAGCAGCTCTCTGGCCCTCAGTCTCCTCACCTATAAAATGGGGGGAGAGAGAGAGAACTCCCCGAATAATTCCTTCCAGCTCCTGAACTCAGTGGTTTGGAACACTGCCTCCTTGCTGATTTCCCAACAGCACGATTTGAGTTGTCTGCAGGAGCGGTGGATGGTACTCTGTTCCACTGGGCAGTGGACTTCCCAGGCCTCCTCTCCCTTCTCCCCTGAGAGGGAAAGGGCTGCTGGCTCTGGTCCCCTGCTCCTGTCCCCTCCTTCACTCCTTCCTCCTCTCCCTCAGGGTTGGGCCCCTCGCTGCCCTCGCTGCTGCCCACTCTGTGACTGTGCCTGTGCGTGCCAGCTTCCTGACTGCCAGAGCCTCAACTGCCTCTGCTTTGAGATCAAGCTCCGATGAAGACCCACGCCCCTGCCCTCTGGGGAGTGGCCAGCCCCCAGGGCCCACTTGCCCGCTTCCCTGAGGGGCCTCAGGCCACTGGAACCACGGATGGACTGGCTGGCTCACTGGCCTGGGAACCAGCAGTGGAGAACTTGGCTCTCATCAGAGCAAGACTTGGGGAGCCACTGGCCGGCTAGCCTGCAGTTCCTCCACAGGGACAACGGAAAGAGGGGCTGGTGCCCTGGCAGGTGCCCCCCCTTCTCCCTCCCCAGGAAATGCATGCTAACCATGGGTGGCACTGGGTACCCCAGCATGCCAGTCCATGGGCGCCTGGTTATTTTGGGGTGTGGGTACAGCACCTGCACTGCACTCCCTCTAAAGAAATGGGCTCGGGAGAATCCTAGCAGCTCCTATTGGAGCCCAGCCCAGGGAGAGGGTCAGAGGAGGAGGAGGCAGGGAAGGCCACGTGACCTGAGTCCCCTTTCCCCTTCTCCCCACAGGTCCCTGCCCAAAGATTTATTTCCCCTTTGAGGGCCCGAGCCGGGATTTCCAAGGAAGACATTTCCTCTGAAGGAAGGGTGAGTGGGCAGGGCCCTCCCCACGGCCTTAAAATAGGGCAGGCCCACAGCTCACTCCCCGCTTCTCACACTGGGTCCCCACGCTGGCCTGAATGTCAGGAGCTTCAGGTTTCCCTAAATATAGGTCCCTGCCCGCGGGGAGGAAAGGGCAGGGGTCACTGGAGAAGGCTGGGGACATGGGCGGGGAGGGCAGGAGCGCTTTATAACCCAGCCCGGCGCCGCCCGGCTCACTCGCTGCTGACCAGGCCCTGCCCGCTCCTCCGGCCTCCAGGTGGGCGCAGCGGCAGGAGCTGGGTGGGGAGGGCTGGAGGCGACCGAGTGAGGGGAGACCTAGGCTGGGGCCGCGGAGTGTCCTGGGGGCTGACCGCGTGGGACGGGTTTTATTCTGAGACGTCAGTCCACGGAGCAGTTTCCGGGGCTCAGACCTGCGTGGCCGCAGCCAGCCGGCCCTGAGCCCGTGGCCTGCGCGGCGCGTGGCGGGCTGCGGGAGGGTCGGCGCCGGTGAGGCTCCCCGGGGCCTGGGGAGGCGCGTGCACGGCGGGCGTGCCGCCCCGACCGCTGCCTCCCGGTCCGCTCGCTGCCCTCCCTCCGCCGCTGCCGGCCTCACGGCTCCTGCACTCGGACCAGCGACACGGGAGGGGCGGCCGGGGCTCCGAGCATCCGGCAGGCGTGGCCGCCGGGCCGGCCTGAGCTCGGGGTTCGGTGACCGTGTGCCATCCCGGGCCCGGGCCAGGCAGACGAGGGAAGCGGAGCTCGGGCTCCTCCACCCGCGCCTGCGCCCGCGCCCCCGCCCCCTCCCCTCGGTGCCCGAACCGGCTGAGTCACGGCGCCCGGAGGGGGGAGGGAGAGGGGGACCGGGCGGGGGGAGGGGGAAGGGAGGGGGGCCAGGCGCGGGATGTGGCCCGAGTCACGTCCGAGGGCGGCGGGGAGGGGCCGGTGCTCGCTGCCGCCTCCGGTGCCGGCTCTGCCTCCGGGGCGGCGGCTCCCGCAGCCGCTCGCCCGCCATTGGGCGCCGGGCCGGCCGCCCCGGAGGGAGAGCCCGGGAGGCGGGCGGAGGGCGGGGCGGCCTTATAAGGCGGCGCCTCGGCTCCCGGGGCCGCCCCCGGAGCAGCAGCCGGCGTTCCGCTCCGAACGCGCCGCAGAACCCGCCGTAGTGACGGCCGCCGCGTTCGCTGCCTCCGCCGCCCTCCGCCCGCCGCCCCGGCCTCCCGTGCCAGGTGAGCGCCTCGCCCCGTGCGGAGGCCTCAGACCACCGAGAGGGCCCCCGCCCCGGGCCCCGCATCCCCTCCATCCCCGCCCGGCCCGGCCCGGCCCCGGCCTCCCCATGGCGCCCGCGCTCACTGCGCAACGCGGCTCCGCGCTGAGTCACGGCGGGGAGGAAGCGGCCGCGGAGAAGCCCGCTCTCCTCCCCTTTCCTGCCCGGGCCCCCTGCCTGGTGCAGAGGGTCGCGGCCCCTTGGCCTCTGCGGGGCCCAGGGGGCACGGGGCTAGGGGCCGGCCGCAGACTGCCCCAGAGCTCCCGAAGGCGGGCGCGGCCCCGCCCGGGGAGGCGGGCGCCCCTGGCGAGGAGGGGCTCCCCCTGGCAGCACCTCGTGCCCCATTAACACCTTCCTATCTTTTCTTATCGGGTGACCTTGATTCTGAGCCTGGAACCGCTGCGGCCCGCGAGCAGACTGGAGCCTTTTTCGGGGGAAGGGGTGGGGCGCTTGCCTCTCCTCCGCACGCTTACCCTGCATGAGCAGTGAGATCGGCAAACTCCCCTTCCTCTGCTGCCCTTCCTGGCCTCCTGATTCCCTCTTACGCCCCCCTCAATGCCCTTTTCCGAACGCCCCCCCCCCCCCCTCCAGCCCGACCTTGGGATGCCCTTGAGGCCTCGGTGCCTGTCCCAGCTCTGCGCTCCTGGGTGGAGCGGATCGGAGCGGAGGAAACAGCCCTGGGGCAGTCAGTCTGGGCTCTCACCTCAGACCTGACCCTGGGGTTGCTGTGACTGAATACAGACCTTTCCTTTCTCTGGCTCCTCTCACAGGAGGGGGTCGGCCCTCGGCCTTATGCACAGCCTCTAAATTCTGAAATACTGCGGTTCGCTTTTGCTTCCAGGCAAGGTGACCCCATGGCTAAGCGCAAGCCAGGGGGGTCCAACTTCTACACGAGCCATCTGTCCATGGCTCTGGCCTATTCCTATGACCTAGAAGTCAGTGTACAGCCCCCCACCCAGCTGGGCGGCCCCCAGCCACACAGGGAGTTAGGAAAGGTACAGGAGGCGGCCCAGTACAGGGAAGTCGGGTGTAGGGGAGAGCTGGGGAAGAACCCCAAGACCTGCTGGGTATGGGGAAGGGGAGATAGGGAACTTTGCCCTGGCGAGGGGCTCTGCTCATTGGGAGGCCACTGGAAGGCCCAGCTAACCCATGCCCTGTGTCCCCCCCCCCATCTGTCTCCTGCCCAGGCCCTGTCGACTGGCACCATGCCCTACCAATACCCAGCGCTGACCACGGAGCAGAAGAAGGAGCTGAGCGACATTGCTCACCGCATTGTGGCTCCGGGCAAGGGCATCCTGGCTGCAGATGAGTCCACTGGTGCGATCAGGACCCAGTGGGGGGAGGGCCCAGGCTTGGGGGTGACGGGCTGACCCCCCTATGACCACGGGCTATGGCTCTGCAGGGAGCATTGCCAAGCGGCTGCAGTCCATTGGCACTGAGAACACTGAGGAGAACCGGCGCTTCTACCGCCAGCTGCTGCTGACGGCCGATGACCGCGTGAACACCTGCATCGGGGGCGTCATCCTCTTCCACGAGACGCTGTACCAGAAGACGGACGATGGGCGTCCCTTCCCCCAAGTGATCAAATCCAAGGGCGGTGTTGTGGGCATCAAGGTGAGGAGGCCGGGCCTCCCTGTGAGATCTGCAGGGAGGCTGGGGGAAAGAAACCCAAAGCAATAGGCTGGAGGGCTGAACATTGGGCCAGGAGCCTGGAGACCTGGTGGAGTCTACCCCAGACCGGATGTAAGGAGAGCTAGAAACCACCCGGCTTGGTATTTTTAATCCTTGAGGTCCTGAGAGCAAGGCAGTGGCGTGTTTTGCTGACAGAGTTAGGAACTAGTAGGTTCCCAGGCTGTCTGTCAAATAATAACCCCATGTGCCCTACCTCAGAGACATCTGAAAACATTTGCAGACCAGGAGATAAACTGAGATTAGGTGAAGGTGGGGCAGAGGAGGAAGTAGAGATTGCTCACATGCCTTATATTGTCCTACCCAACAGGTAGACAAGGGCGTGGTCCCCCTGGCAGGAACCAATGGCGAGACTACCACCCAAGGTGAGAACTGTTTGGCTCCCTGCCTGGCCGACCAGCCCACCCGGGTTGGCGCCCCTCTAAGTGCCCAGGATGAGTGGGAGCTACTTGCCCCCTCCTCTGCCATGCTTAGACCTCTCATCCCCTTCCCAGGGCTGGATGGGCTGTCTGAGCGCTGTGCCCAGTACAAGAAGGACGGAGCTGACTTTGCCAAGTGGCGCTGTGTGCTGAAGATTGGGGAACACACCCCCTCAGCCCTTGCCATCATGGAAAATGCCAACGTTCTGGCCCGTTATGCCAGCATCTGCCAGCAGGTGGGCCTGCACACTCCCAACAGGCCAGCTCCCATCTCTTTTGCTTCCAGAGTGCCAGCTAGCTTGCTGCCCGCCTGCCTGGATATCTTCCTCCCCCATGGCAGCTGTTCCGTCCGGATCCTCACGATCATCAGGCTTGAGCCTGGGGGGACCCTGGAGGGCTGTGTGGGTTGATCTGAGATCTGTCTCCTACCCCCGGCAAAGCTGAGGGCTTTGAAGCCACGAGTCTCTGTCTTCGTGGAGCTAGGACCTTGGCCAGTGGGTGTGGGGAGCTGGAGGAGGAGGAGGAGGAGCTGCAGGTAGTGTGGAGGCCTCCAGGGCCTCATAGCACTCTGTCCCTCACTCACAGAACGGCATCGTGCCCATCGTGGAGCCCGAGATCCTCCCCGACGGGGACCATGACCTGAAGCGCTGTCAGTATGTAACCGAAAAGGTAGGTTGCTTACTGCCTGGGCGGGTAGTGGGCTGGGCAGCTGGGCCGAGGGCCTTGGGGCTGACTCCTGTCCCCCCACTCTACCCAACCCCACTTTGGTCCTGCCCCACTCTAGGTGCTGGCTGCTGTCTACAAGGCTCTGAGTGACCACCACATCTACCTGGAAGGCACCCTGCTGAAGCCCAACATGGTCACCCCAGGCCATGCCTGTACCCAGAAGTTTACTAACGAGGAGATCGCCATGGCAACCGTCACTGCGCTGCGCCGCACAGTGCCCCCTGCTGTCCCTGGTGAGACCCATGCTCTCATCCTTGGTCCTTTCCTTCTCTGTGCATTTTGCATTTGTATATGCTGCCTACATACAAATTCAACACACATCCACAGTGTGTGCCGATTGGTCTGATTTCCCGGTCAGCTGCTAGGAACCCTCCCAGTCCCTTGGATCCCGGACCACAACCCCTCTCCCCATCTCACCTTTGTTCTACAGGGATCACCTTCCTGTCTGGAGGTCAGAGCGAGGAGGAGGCATCCATCAACCTCAATGCCATCAACAAGTGCCCCCTGCTGAAGCCATGGGCCTTGACCTTCTCCTATGGCCGCGCCCTGCAGGCCTCTGCCCTGAAGGCCTGGGGCGGGAAGAAGGAGAACCTGAAGACCGCCCAGGAGGAGTATGTCAAGCGCGCACTGGTGAGGATGGAGTCGGAGGTGGGCAGAGTGCGGGGTGGGTGGGATTCTGAACACAAACCTTACTCTGGCTCCTCTCCCCTCTTAGGCCAACAGCCTCGCCTGCCAAGGAAAGTACACCCCAAGCGGCCAGGCTGGAGCTGCAGCCAGCCAGTCCCTCTTCGTCTCTAACCATGCCTACTAAGCAGACGTGATCTGATCTAAGGCTGCCCGTAAACACTCCAGGCCTCGCCCCCTCCCACATTCACTCTTAAAGAGGCCGCATCCCAGGCTCCAGGCTGCTCTTTCCCAGCACTCCTGCCTCCTTGTGACACTGGTTGCGTGGTGTTGTCTGTGTATGCCAACTCCAATGCCCTTTCCAGCCCACTGCCAATAAACATCTATTTAAGGGGGCGTTTCTTGTCCATGTCTATAGCATCTGGGTCAGGGGAGTGTCTGGGGAGGTGGCCGAGTCAGAAGAAAGAGCTCTTATTTTATGTTCTTCCTTAGATAGGGAAATGGTGAAGGGGTTGGGTAGGACTTTCCTGTTTTGTTTTATAATTGCCCAGGGTTTCAAGAGGAGAGCTTGTGAAATTTCCTTCAACCACCAGAGGCTCTTTCCCCTTCTAGCAGCATCAGATAAGGCTCACAGTTGGGGACTGTGTGTAACTGCTGGCTCTAGGAGGCTGCAGCCTCAGACTCTTAGGCCTTAGACCTCGGGTGCAGAAGGCCCTTATGACAGAAACAGCCAGACAACAGCTGAGATTCCCTGGGTCTCTGAGCCAGGCAACATGAAAACGTTCTGTATGAGTGGGTGGTGTTTTTCCATTTTAAGCTTCAGACTTTATTGCTGGAGATCACACTCTTTCTTGGTGGAAACAAGAATATTAATGCAGGCTGGTGGGTGTGGTTCAATGGTTGTGGGTCGACCCATGAACCAAGAGGTTCGATTCCTGCACAGGGCACTTGCCCGGGTTGTGAGTTCGATCCCCAGTGGGGATATGCAGGAGGCAGCTGGTTGATGTTTTTCTTACGATGTTTCTGTCTAAAAAAGGGATAAAACATTCTTTTTTAAAGAATATTAATGCAGCCCTGCAGGTGTGGGCCCAGCTAGGCTTCAGAGGTGGAGCATCGATTTAGGAACCAGGAGGTCATGTTGCCATTGCAGGCTCGAACTCCCCAGGGTTATGCGAGGGGCAGTGGATCAATATCTCTTACCATTGGTGTTTCTAACTCTTTCTCCCTGTCCCTCTCTGAAATCAATAAAAAGATATTTTAAAAAAGAATCTTAAGGCCTATCTTCTTAATCTACACTGTTGAGTTTGTCAGTCTTCAATAGGGAATGGGATTCGAACTGGCTACTCAGTCTTCTTGGGCTTTGGAACCCCTTGAAGAATCTGGAATCCTCCAACACCTCAACAATGCACACACAGACAGAACTCGGGTTCTAGGTTAGAACTGAGCCTCTAGCTGCTGCATTCCATGGAGCCAGCATGAGGGCCCTGCGCTTACCCTTGTCATGTCTGGAACCCTTCTCCAATCACCCAGTCTGGATGCAGCAGCACCTACTTATACCAGATATTCTCCACTGTTGAAGATCCCAGTCATCACCAGGGACCTAACATTCCTGCCACTTCTCAGATTTCCCGATAGGGGCCTTTTCCTGTCAGAGTGCCCTTCTAGAGGGAAAAAAAATATCTTGACCTATCTCTCTGAACCTACTAAATCTATGTAGTGATAGGTATAGACTGATGAACTCTAGGAGTTTGAGAACTTGGTCCTTTCCTTCTCTGTACATTTGTATATGCTGCCTACATACAAATTCAACACTCTCCTGGAGCCCCTGCAACTTACGTGCCTACCGTCAACGCTGAAACATCTGAAATAAAGCAAACGAGAACTGAAGGTCAATAGAAGACAGTGAAAAGGACATTCCAAAAGGGAGCAACTTGTACAAGACCAGTTCAAGGACTAGTGGCTTCCTCGGCCTGCAGCAAAAGCGACCAGGGAAGCAGAGGAACTCAAAGACCACTTTAGGGAGCTTTGGACTTCTTAGGACAGTGAATTCTGGAAAGCTAAATTAGAACACAGCTTTCCTGGGTTCCAATTTCAACACTGATTCAAATCCCAAATTCTTAGCTATGCAAATCTGAACAAGTTACTTAACCTCTAGGATAGTTTCCTCCTTAAAAAAAAAAAAAAAAAAAAAAAAGAATAAAGTTTGAAGACGACAGAAAGCAACGGAGGGGTGTCAAGGGGACTACTGAGATCAGGCCATGTCGACCGGCCTCGGCCTTTAACTTGGAGGCCCTCCCCTGCAGAGCCCTCCGTGGCCGTGGAGAGGCCGGGCTGGATCGCTTCGCCCACCAGAGAGCACTCGGGGTGCCCTGTGCCAGGCCTGTGGGCACGGGCTGCCGGGGTGAGCGAGGCGAGTTCCAGCCTCCGGGTGTAATGGGGCGGCCGACCATCACCGGCCCACGAAGCGTGTCACCAAGGGCCTGGCGGCGCCGGCAAGCTTCAGCCGGCGCCACTGAGCAGCGATGACGGCCCGAGAGCGCACCCCGCGGCCACAGCAACTTCCGGCCGAGGCTGCCATCCGGGTCTCGGCTCCTCCGCCCCGGCCGCAGGCGGCGGCGAGGGCGCGGCGCGGGGCAGGGTGTGTATGACGTCACGTCCGACGCGCGGCGGAACTCGCCTCCTGTGCTTCCGCGGAGGGGCCGGAAGTAGAAGCGGCGGCGGCGGCGGCCCGGAGCGGAGGGAAGGAGGAAGGCGGGGAGCCCCGGAGCCGGAGCCGAAGTCGCAGCGGCGGTAAGGGCCGGGGACCCCCTAAGCCACCGACCCCAGCGGGGGCAGCCGGGGCGGCGGGGCGTGAGGGGGCGGGCCGGCCTCGGGATCGAGTGGCCCCCCCACACACACCCTGGCACCCCTGAGGGACCTTCTCACCGACTCGCTTCGCCTCCCAGGAGGGCCCTGTGCGGCGCGGAGGGGCCGCGGCCCCGGCTCGGACCCGCCGGGGTGGGCCATGGCGGAGATCAGCGACCTGGACCGGCAGATCGAGCAGCTGAGGCGCTGCGAGCTCATCAAGGAGAGCGAAGTGAAGGCCCTGTGCGCCAAGGCCCGGTGAGCCCGGCGGGAGGGAGTCCGGCGGGAGGGAGCAGGGGGCCGCGGCCAGGGGCCGGCCAGCAGCCCAGCAGAGAACTTCGGCCTGGCTCGTCCTGGAAACACTCCCAGAGGAGAGCCGACAGGGCCTCTTCCCGCGGGGAGCAGCCAGGGGGAAGGCAGACCTGGACAGAGACACCTCAAGTGTGGGGTGATGTGTTCGGGGAGGCGGCGAGTGACAGAAAGCACGGAAGACTGCGCAGCGAAACACCCCTACTATGTGCTGAGGGGACTGGCCTCTGCGGGCAGGCCTTGCAGAGGAAGGTGTCAAACAGGAACGTCAGCAGGAACAGAAGAGCAAGGCAGGAAAGCTGAAGACTCTGGTTTATAAACTACTTCACATTCCACCAACAACCCTTCAAGTTGGGTAGTATTGCCCCCATTTTACAGATGAGGGCTCCTGGTCAGAGTCAGCCGAGGGAGGGAGGGAGCCTGAAGCCAGTTCTCCGTGTCCTGCGCTTTTCAGGCGCGGAGGGGTCCTCTGTGTGCAGTGTGGGGGCCTGACATGGTAGCAAACAGGCCAGAGCAGAATTCAGCGCGGCGTGAAGGGAGGCCCAGCGTGGCGTTCGGTGGGCGCAGGATGGCTCGTTGTGATGACAATCTCAGGCTTTGGAATGGCATGGCTGTGGGCTGGAATCTGCGCTTTGCCACGTACTATCTGTGTGGTGGTCCCTGAGGTCTCCGAAACGCATTTTTTTCCTATCTGTAATTTGGGAAGAGTAGTATAATACTTAGTAAGATGGCTGTGAAGAGTCAGTCAGTCGGTGCTCTGGATGAAGTTAGCATAGTGCTTTGACACAGTGAGTGCCCAACAACCCTGGGTGTCACTGTTATTGCTATGTAGGGAGATGGCAGTGCTGATGTGGACTGAAGTGGTCAGGGAATGTGTAAGAGAAAGGGGCCTCAAAAGATGGAAATAATTAGAGTAGCTGATGGGAGCAGGGCCAGGGAGGGAGGCATTCCAAGCAGGGTGAGAGTAAGATTGGAGGCCCTAAGGTATGTGGGCAACAGTGAGGAAATCAGTTACCTGCCTCCTCTGAGGTGCTATTTGACTGTGGCTTCCACCAAGCTGGAGACTTGTGAGAAAAGAGCCAGCCTTGGCCAGTGTGGCTCAGTGGTTGAGCAACGACCTGTGAACCAGGAGGTCACATTTTGATTCCTGGGTGGGGAACATGCCTGGGTTGAGGACTTGATCCCCAGAAGGAGACATGCAGCAGTCAATGATTCTCTTCATTGACGTTTCTATCTCCCTCTCCTTCCCTCTCTGAAATTAATAAAAATCTACTTAAAAAGGACAGAGAAGAGAGCCAGAAGAATTACCCTATGTTTACTGAGTAACAGAAGCACTATTAGCCTGGCTTTGTACTGGCAAAGAATTTATATCCACTTCCTCCCCACAGCAATCTTGTGAGGTTGGAATTGTTTGCTCTGTTTTACAGAACGGCCCTAGCTGGCTTGGCTCAGTGGGTAGAGCATTGGCCTGAGAACTGAAAGGTCCCAGGTTCAATTCCAGTCAAGAGCACATTCCCGGGTTATGGGCTCCGATTCCCAGTGGGGGACTTGCAGGAGGCAGCCAATCCATGATTCTCCATCATCATGGATGTTTCTATCTCTCTCCCTCTTCCTTCCTCTCTGAAATCATTTTACAGAACAGAGGCTGTGACTCCTAGAGGCATAGTGACTGGACTAAGATCCCCCAGAGAGAGAATGGCAGCGCTGGGTTCTGAGTTTGTGGCCATCAGACTCTTGCTTGGCTCCCTCCCACCCCAGACACGCTAGCCCCCAGGCAGGGCCTTTGTGGGTTTGGTGAACAGGCAAGGCTCCCTTTTATTTATTTATTTATTAACATATTTTATTGATTTTTTACAGAGAGGAAGAGAGAAGGATAGAGAGTTAGAAACATCGATGAGAGAGAATCATCGATCAGCTGCCTCCTGCACAACCCCCACTGGGGATGTGCCCGCAACCAAGATGTGAGAAAAGAGCCAGACTTGTGAGAAAAGAGCCAGCCTTGGCCAGTGTGGCTCAGTGGTTGAGCAATGACCTTGACCGGAATCGAACCTGGGACCTTTCAGTCTGCAGACTGATGCTCTACCACTGAGCCAAATCGGTCTTGGCAAGGCCCCCTTTTAAATGCTTGTTTATGGCTCTTCCATGTTTTGTCTGCTTTCTCTGTCTTGATGGCATTTTTAGGAACTTAAACCAATTGCTGCCTGGCACCATTCTTTTTCCCATATGTCTTATCTGCCCCCATAGGACCTGGATCATTTTGGTGGTGGTGATAGCTGAAGCTTGGGAAGCATGGTGGAGTTTGCAGAGAAGTTATATATTCAGTCACCATTGTGTATTGCAGCAGCCCTACGGAATAGGCAGGGCAGGAGTGGGTATTTCACCGAAGAGAATCTGAGTCTTAGAGAAGATAATGTCTTGCCACAGTGTGACAGATGGTGGGAGGGGAGGTTGGTTTTGCATCCAGGTCTTTTACTGTACCCCATGCTCATGGACAGCCAGGCAGAGACAGACTGTGAGAGGCAGCAGAGCTCAGAGGACTGAGGGGTGGCAAGGTCATGTCCAGCTGGAACGGAGACGGAGCTAGGAGGTATTAGGTCTGAGTTGGCCAGTATTATCCCAGGCCCAGTCAGGAGGGCCAATTCTAGCTCCTTGTCCTCCTGGGACCCACCAGTGACCCAGGCCAAGGCTGGTAGTGTGGGGAGCTTTGGCTTGCTCAGGGAGTATACAGACTTGAACTCTGGGAATTACAGAGTCCTGAAGTGTATGAGCTGAACTTGCTCTTATTAAAAAGTCAGCATATTCAAAGAGCAGGGGATTTTGAATCAGGTGGTCTTCAGTACGAATTCTATCGCTGAACAGTATGACCTGGTCAAGCCACTTGGCCTCTCCAAGTCTTTGAAATCATCATGAGCATGAAACTCAAATGAGATTGTTCATATCCAGAGGCAGGGCCTGGCATTTTGAGCACTTACAAAGGCAGTGTTAGCTGTGGAAGTAAAGGTGAGCAGGTGCGAGCCCTAAGAGGGCTGGGCATGTGCTGCTGGTGACAGAGATGGGGCCAGAGGCTGGATCTTGATTCCAGACCATGCTGGGGCCCTCCTGGCTCTGAGGTGAAGTTTTGACCCTGAGTCTGGCATAAATTCTCAGGAAGTTGGGCTCCTGGATTCCAATTCAGACACTCTCCAGCTTTGTGACCTTGATCTTGCCCCTTTTTTCTGAGCCTCGGTTGTTTAACCGTCAGATGGGGATGAAAAGAAGCTCCCCCAGTCAGTTGGAAAGGTCATTATAAGCCGAAACCGGTTTGGCTCAGCGGTAGAGCATCGGTCTGCGGACTGAAAGGTCCCAGGTTTGATTCCCGTCAAGGGCATGTACGTTGGTTGCGGGCACATCCCCGGTAGGGGGTGTGCAAGAGGCAGCTGGTCAATGTTTCTCTCTCATCGATGTTTCTAACTCTCTATCTCTCTCCCTTCCTCTCTGTAAAAAATTAATAAAATATATTTAAAAAAAAAAAAGAAAGGTCATTATAAGCAGTTGATAAGGAACAATTTTCAGTACAAGATGCAATGATTTTCAATACAAGATGTAATGTGGGTTGGAGATGCTGGTTTCTGCAGGGCCCCCAGACTACAGCGAGTCCTCTCCCTCCCATTCCCAGAAGCAGTCACCTCCTTGGGGCTGTCTTGTCATGCAGGTGCCCCGAGGGGCCTGTAGGAAATGCAGAGTCCAGGAGACTCAGGGCTGAGCAAGTCCTGGGCCACATCTGAGGGGCTTGATGAAAGCACTCAGGCCCGGAGCCAGGCTGCTTTGGTTCAAGTCCCACCTGTATGACTTCAACCATTTTCTTTATCTGAGAAGTGGGCGTCCTCACAGTGCTTTGATTGCATGCGGCATCCATGCAAAGCTCATACTAGAATCCTGGCGTGTGGTGTGAACTGGAATGTTCACCACTGCTGTTATCATCAAGGATGAAATATGGTTCTAAAATTGGGTGTCTGAACCTGACAGCGGTTTTATGTCATGTTCACTCACTTAAGTCAGACTGCATTGGAAGGAAAGAAGAAAGAATGAAGTCATCACTTTCTCTAACTAAATAATGAAAAAAAGCAACAACATATCACTTTGAACATCACTGATGACTGGCCTGCCCAGGGCAAGCCCAGTGTGCCTTTAGCCAGCCTGGGAGAAGGCCCCTGTGCGGGAAGAGAGCCTGTACGAGCTCTCCAGGCTGAGCAAGCAGTGCAGGGAGCAGGGGCTCTGCGGGCAGAGGGGTGTTTTCTGGGCGTGCTGGATGCAGGAGAGGAAGCGGTGGAGGTGAGGGTTGGGCGGTCATGTCTGGGAAGGGCACAGCCTACCGGGCAAAGGCTTTGAAAGCTAGAACGGGAGTTTTAGGCTTTGGCTTGTTGGCAGCGGGGGAACCACGGGAGGGTACTGAGCAGAGAGGGCTGTGGCCAGCCTTTCCTGGGGAAATTGCACACCTCACTCCTCTCCTTCCTTGTAGAGGTTCAAGGATTGCCACATATCCTGCCCCCCCCCCCCCAAAAAAAAAAAAAAAGATCAGGAACTGGGCTGGGCTGGGCTGGGCAGGCCGGGCTGTGGTGACCCTGTTCTTCTGTCTCCAGAGAGATCCTGGTGGAGGAGAGCAACGTGCAGAGGGTGGACTCGCCGGTCACAGTGAGTACCCCGTCCCTCCGAAGCCCAGCGTGGTGTTGTAGGCATGTAGACATTCCTGCAGTCTCGTGGGCTCCCCCATCCCTGGGGGCCCCCTCTTCAAAGGCCCTCGCTATAAGAAACGGAAGTTACAGGAAGGGTCTTGTGATTTGTTGGAGCGATGCTCTTGGTGGGGGCAGAAGGACCCTTAATTTGGTAAGTGATTCTACTCCACATGTTTCTGTGAGCTCTTTGTTGTCAGGAGCTCCATTCTGGGTACCTGGAGGGGAGTCCCTGCAGGAGCCGCACGTCTGAAAAGACCCGGCTCTCGCTCTTCCCAGAGATTCGTTGGCATTCATTGTGGGGTGGAGGTTGATTCCAGATGCGGCTAACTTGGGGTGGGAGAGTAGACTTGGACCCTGAGAAGCAGAGGCTTAGCTAAGAGGGATAATTTGAATAATCCCCTGGGAACAGAGGCTTTTAGACGTTGAGTTCCCACATACCTTCTCACTTCCAGGTATGCGGTGACATTCACGGACAATTCTATGACCTCAAGGAGCTGTTCAGAGTGAGTGTGGGTCAACACTGGGGAAGGTGACCTGGGGGTGACCGGAAGGCCCCTTTGAGAGGGAAAGCTTTGACTTTGGTGAGTGGAGTGGGGGCAAGAGGCCTCTAGTTCGGTGGGCCCTTTGTGAACGAAGGGCTTCCACTTGACTGAGTAGGGGACAGTTTAGGACCTTCTCCCTCCCCCCAGGTGGGTGGCGACGTCCCTGAGACCAACTACCTCTTCATGGGGGACTTTGTGGATCGTGGTTTCTACAGCGTGGAAACGTTCCTCCTGCTGCTGGCACTAAAGGTGGGGACCGCTGCTTCGGAGCCCAAACCTGGGCCACCTCAGGCCTGGCCTTCTGCATCCTTTCCGCCCTCCTCTCCTGCTCCATCCACCCCCAGCTCTGAGCTGTGCTGCTGCTGATGACAGATTCTGCTTGGCAAGGGTGGTCACAGACGCTTTCCTTGACTTGGGGGCGCCTGACTGGGCCCCTGGAGGATGAGGTCAGAGGGGTGGCATTGTAGGGGAGGGAAAAGAGGCTCAGACTGTTCAGAAAATGACAAGGAGTTGAGTTCAACGGGATACAACATCCACTGGTGGGAGAGAGGTTGTAAGGGGCCAGAAGACAAAGGGCTTGGTCCCTCTCTGGTGGTGAAAGAGGAGCCTGTAGGTGTGTAGTTGATGCCCCGGCGGGGAGGGGGTGGGAGGGAGGGACTTCGTATTTAGAAGGAGGGCTGGGAGCCTGTGAGGTGGGTGTAACACCATTCAGGCCAGAGATGGCATGAATCTGGGCCAGGGTGGCGATGAGGATGGAGTGGGGCTGACAGATGTCAGGAGATGTAGGAGGGAGAGAGAGCCTGGACCCCAGCCCTAGCGTGGTGGTTACTTTCAGGTTCGCTATCCTGATCGAATCACCCTGATCCGGGGCAACCATGAGAGCCGTCAGATCACACAGGTCTATGGCTTCTATGATGAGTGCCTGCGCAAATACGGCTCGGTGACCGTGTGGCGCTACTGCACTGAGATCTTTGACTACCTCAGCTTGTCCGCCATCATCGATGGCAAGGTAGGCCGCCCGGGCTCCGTGGGGAGGGGCGAGGTGGGGGAGGCGCTGGGCCTCAGCCTCTCCTCCTGCCTTGCTCTCCCTGTAGATCTTCTGCGTGCACGGGGGCCTCTCCCCCTCCATCCAGACCCTTGACCAGATCCGGACGATTGACCGAAAGCAGGAGGTGCCTCATGACGGGCCCATGTGTGACCTGCTCTGGTCTGACCCTGAAGGTGAGGGCAGGTGGGGCAGGGCAGCCAGGCTTTGTCCTTAGTTTGCTGAGACACCGAGTCCTTTGGTAAAAGCAAGTACCTTGAAGGGACACTCAGACCAGGTATGTTTGGGGAAGAGTAAAGTGGGCTGGTCTGCACTGGCGTCTGTCCCTGACCTGCAGCCTGGCTGGCACTCTCAGAGCAGGGGCACGGGTAGCTGGGTGCTTTGAGCTCGGGTGGAATTAGGGCCTATGTGTCAGAGGCTTGTTTAGGACAAAATCATCGGCTCCCTGCATGCGAAGGGGCTTTTGCAGAGGTCAGATGCATATAATGATCGGCCCCTGAGAACCCCTCATTTTGGGGGGGACCTGAGCTAGTGTGGAGCAGGGCTGAGGTTGAAAGCCAAGGTACCAGTCCAGAGCTCCTTCTGCTGTAAGACAGTCTGCACTCTCTCCCTGCCACGCCCAGTGCCCTGTTACTGCTCCCCGACTAGCTGTGGCAGACCCTGCTCACCCCGTTACGTGGCCAGGTTCTTAGAAGCGGCTCCTTTCACTCACCCGTGTGCCTCTTTGGACAGTAACTGGCATGGCCACTCAGATTGAGGTGACTCCAGCTATCAGGAAAGTCTCATCATGAGAGCTTACCTGCTTCAGCATCTGCAGCCCTGTCCCTCAGGACCCCCCAAATACCACCAGGCCCTGTCCTCTTGCCCCACAGGCCTGATGGGGGGCGGGGGCGGGGGGACAGGATATTCTCCTTCGAAGGGCAGTGGGCAGTCAGATGCCTTGAGGCCACCTCTCCCCATCTCTGCCTTCGTTTGCCTCAGACACGACCGGCTGGGGTGTGAGCCCCCGAGGGGCTGGCTACCTATTTGGCAGTGACGTGGTGGCTCAGTTCAATGCAGCCAACGACATTGACATGATCTGCCGTGCCCACCAACTGGTGATGGAAGGTTACAAGTGGCACTTCAATGAGACTGTGCTCACTGTGTGGTCGGCACCCAACTACTGCTACCGGTGAGCTGCCTGGGTCGGGAGGTCATGGTGGGGGGCGGGATCTGGGCTGACACACTCTAACTGCTGCCCTCGCCCTCCCTACCTGCAGCTGTGGGAATGTGGCAGCCATCTTGGAGCTGGATGAGCATCTCCAGAAAGATTTCATCATCTTTGAGGCTGCTCCCCAAGAGACGCGGGGCATCCCCTCCAAGAAGCCCGTGGCCGACTACTTCCTGTGACCCCTTTGGCTCTGCCCCCCAGTCCCGCTGGCCCTTGGACCACTGTGACTCTACCCTCTTCTCCAGCGGGAGGCTGGGCATGGGGGGCCGTCCCCTGCTCGCTCTCCCTCAGAGAGGGCACTCGGAGGGTGAGGACTATCTCTGGAGAGGCTCCTCTCCTCTCTCCCCACCTGAACCATGAAGTTTCCAGTAATTTTTGTTTTTCTTTTTTTCATTTTTTTTGGTTTGTTTTTAGATAAAAATTTTGAGAAAAAGAAAAAATTCTAATAGAAGAACTACAGTCTTTGGATTTGTGTCAGACTTGATTGGGGATGAGTAGTGCTGCTGCCTGGGACCGGGGATGGACCCACCAGGAAGGTGAGGCGAGGTCAGCTCACTTCCCAGAGCCTCCGATCCATCCTGAGAGTGACCGCTCCTGAGCGAGGTAGAGGGCCAGGCTCTCAGACGCCTGTTTAATTCTCAGAACAGTGAGTGTCAGGACGTTGCTTCCCCCGTTTTTCTGAAGAGGAACCAGGCCCAGAGCGAGTGGATTTGCACACACAGAACCAAGCAGCTGGAAATGGCAAGTCTAGATCAGGGGCCGGGGTCTCCCCCAGAACCTCTGCTCACCCAGCCCCAGGCCCTCCAGGGCCAAACACCATTCGCCCAATGTTCCCAGAGCACTGATGCCTTGTGAGTTTTATTAGCAAAAATACTCTGGTGTGGCTCGCACTGGGGCAAGGAAATAATGACTGGCTGAGCCCAAGGGTGAAGCCAGGAGTTGGTGGTGCTGGCCCAAGGCCCCATTTGGCCGGCAGAACCTCCCTCTTCACACGGAGGTGAGAGCCTGAAAGGGGAAGCTGGCCCCAGCTGGGCTCCCAGCAGCTTAGCCAGAGCTTTGAAGCCAGAGGGGGGTGGGAATGAAGTCAAAGTGTGAAGTGGGGTGGAGGAGGCCCAAGGCAGCCATTTGGTGTGGGGGAGGGGGTCAGTGGAAGTGAGGGGACTACAGCCTGGGGGAAGGGGACTGTGATGGGAGACTGAGGGAGGCCGAGGGGCCTGGCCATGGCTCAGTACATTGGTTTGGAGCCCATATCCAGATAGGCCCCTGGGTAAGGTAAGGGCAAGGGGCCCCCTTGGAGGAAATGCGAGGCAAAGGGCGCCGGGGGTGCAGCTGCTGGGCACCCTGAGCTTCCCGGCCCAGGCTGCAGCTCCAGGAATGCAGCCGAGTACGGCGCTGGGCGCCCCGAGTCTGGAGCCTGAGGGAAGCTGGGGTTCCTGAAGGGGAAAAAGGTGTCAGAACACTGGAGAGGGACCCAGACTGGAACGGCCCAGCCTGTGCCCTGTCCCGCTCACCTGGTGGGAAGGTGACTGGGAGCCCCGTGGAAAGCTGCAGGGTGCAGGAGGTAGGCCTCGGCACTGGAGCCGCCGCACAGAGGAGCCAGGGCCGGGGCAGCCTCCCTGGGCGCCGGGGCCTGCTCTGGGTCTGGCTCACGAACATCCCCGCCCAGGGTGGAGTCACAGGGACCACCTGGTGCATCTTGGGAGACAAAAGAGCCAGGGTGGGCTAAGGAGGATCAGCACCTCTGGCTTGGCCCAATCACCGTGGGACTACACTCACCTCCACTCCCATAGGCCTCTGCGGCTGCTGGCTCTGGGCCCCGCAGTTTCCTCTTAACACGGGCATCTCGCTCCCTGGGAAATACAGCGATAGCGATGGCACTATCACCAGGTACCAGGCGTTCACCCCACCAGGTGTTACTATTACACTCATTTTTCAGATGAAGGAACTAGAGAATTAAATAGCTAGAAAGTTTTCCCACTTAGAACTTTCCCGTGGTTTCCTTGCTCTGCCCATCTTCACTAGCTGCCTTTCCGTCTTCTCTTCTGCCCCCTGTTCACCTGCCTAACAGTTCAGGCTTAACTTCCTCAAGGAGGGCCTCTGACCTCCACAGCACAACGGTGCCCTCCCAGGTAACATAACAGTTACACTGTTACATTTGTTAGGGTCACCTTTTCATTAATGTCTGTCTCTTCTGCCTTGAAGGCAAGAACCAGTTCAGGGGACTGTACTCAGAATAAAAGAATAAACCTTTGCTGTTGAACATAACCTGTGTCCCTGCAGGGCCCTTGGCCATGCTGGCTCCACACTCAGCATGCTGTTCCCAAATGCCCACATGGCTCCCTCCCACATCCCTGTCCAGCCTTCTCAAAAGTCTCTTCTCAGTGAGGCCTCTCCAACCTCTTATCTAATGAACACTTCAATTCTTCTTCCTTGCTTTCTTCTGTCTTTAGAACTCATCCTGACCTCTATTGTTTCTCTTGTTTGTTGTCTACTTTGCCCGCCAGAGTATTAGTTCCATGAGGACAGGGCTTTCGTTTGTCCTGTTTACTGATGCTTCTCCGGTGCCTACTACTGTGCCTGGCACTAGGTGCTAAACAAGTATTTGTTGAATCAGTGAATGAACAAATGTTTTTATTTACCATTGAATGTGTATTAATCACCCACTATGCGCACATAGTGGGGAATTAATAAACATTTGTTGAATGAATGAGGGAATGAACAGTGCCCACCTCTTACAGTTCCTGCCATTCTCCCGGAAACCCTTGGCAAAAGGGTTGGCTGCGATCTTCAGTTGTGTGATCTGGGGGCACATAGCCAGAGTCAGAGCTCCTGCAGCTGAGGGAGGGTGCCCCCCACCCCCTCAGGCAGGCCACTCACCCGTGGGTTCTGGTAGGCTGTCACGGAGATGAACATGGTCTCAGGGAAGCGGAAGGAGGCCACGCCCCCCCAGTGTTGGCTGCAAAGCTGTGCGGCCCGCACGAGGTGCACCCGGGGCTGATACTTGTGCATGGAGTGCAAGATCAGCTGGGAGGGAAGAAGCAGGAGTGACCCCCAGCCCTGGGCTCCAGCCCCACCCCCAGCCTGGGACCCCAGCCTGGGCCTCACGTGGCCATGAGGGTCCAGGGTGCTGTTGGTGAGCTTGACACGATGGAAAGACACAGGCTGCCGCATCCAGTGGGCGCCGGTAGCGGGGGAGTCGGGGTGAATGTAGACGCGGTCAGGCAGGCGAGGCTCGGCTTTGCCGCTGGGCTCCCAGCGCCGGCCCTGCCAACGGTAGCGAGCTCCGTCCACTGGCACCACGTCCAGAAGGAACAGGTAGCGGGCCTCAGGGTCCAGGCCAGTGACGGACACGCGACAAGCAGGGAACATGCGTCTGGGTGGGAGAGAAGACGGGCGAGCCTGAGCTACCGAACAGCCACAAGCAGGCACAGCACTGACACGGGAGCAGAGCCCCCAGCTCAGCTGGAGTTAGAACGGAGGGTAGGGCCTGGAAGCTCGAGTCATCCCGTTTTATAGAAGGGCAGCATGAGAGCAGCTTAGGTGATGTGATCTGATCGGTCACAAAGGTTGAAGCAGAGCTCGCAACCCTGTCTCGGGGCCCTTCCAGCTCCATTTGCAGAAGCAGGGCTGTCACAGTTTTCTCCTGGAAGTCTTGCCAGGAGCCTCTGTTCTCCACCCTGATGATCTCATCTGGTCTCCAGCACCAGAATCTACAGCCACTGGACAAACTTGCTTCAGAGAGGGGGGAGCGGGGGGGACCCCTGGCCGGTGTGGATCAGTGGTTGGAGTGTTGGCCCTCACACCTGAGGGTCTCAGGTTTGATTCCTGGTCAAGGGAATGTTCTCGGGTTGCAGGTTTGATCCCCAGCCCTGATCTGGATGCATGTGGGAGGCAGCAACCAGTTGTGTTTCTCACATTGATGTTTCTCCCTCTCCCACTCAAAATCAATGAAAAAAATGTCCTATGGTGAGAATTAACCACAAATAAAAGCGCGCGCGCGCGCGCACACACACACACACACACACAATGCCAACCCTGCTTTCAATGGAGCAGAAGATACCATGCCAGGGCCCAAGTTCCTGGCCTAGATAAAGACCTCCACAAGGCTACACAGTGGCCACATCACTGCCTCCAAGGTGACCCTGGACCTAGTCATGTACTGACAAACCCTAATGCTAACCTGATCCTAACCAGACTTCCCTGATGCTGGCCACTGGCTGACCCTGGACTCCAGTGATAGTCTGAAGCCCAACTCCAGCCATAGGCTGACGCCTTGGTCTAGGCCACATATTAAGCTATAATCCAGCTAGACTCTGGATATGGCCCAGACTGACATATGCCTCTTGCCACAGACCTTCTCCACAGCATGACCCATGACCAGTCACATTCTGAACTCGGCCCAGACCACAATCACGTTCTGAGCTCAGGCAGAGCTCTAGCCCCCACTGGAAACCCTCAAACTGGCCCCATCGCCAGGAACTCCACCTTTCCCACGAGACCCCCACCAGGACACACTGGGTCCTCTGACCCTGGCCCAGCCCCCTCACCTCCCAGCTTTGGTGATGATCATCTCTGTTCCCACAGAATTGAACTCTTTCCACAGCTCCTGGTTCTCCAGGCTCAGGCTGACTCCAGGGAGGGAGTGAAGGGCCTCTGGGGCCGGAGGAGACGGCTCAGCGCCCAGGGCTGGGGGCAGAGGGGGAAGAGGTGGGGGAGCCGCCAGGGTGCGGGGAGCAGCCTCAATCCCGGAGAGGAAGCAATCCAGTTTGGGAGTGTCCAAATCTGGAGATGGGGGGAGAATGAGGAGCCAGCCCAGGTCCACAGCAACCCTCAGTCCCGCGCAGGAGCTCCTCCCAAAGCTCACCAGGGTAGCGGTACCCCTCTGCCAGGGCGGGCGGGAAGCTGGGCTCGGTCACGGGCTGGGGGGGCCCGAGGCGGTAGCCGGTCCCCAGGGAGGGGCACAACTCCCTTGGATGATACATGGAGTCGTCCCGTCTGGCCTCGGGTCTGGCTGCCTAGAGTCCCCTGGTGCTGGGAGATGCCCCCTTTATAGCTCACAGCTCGGCCCCTTCCAGACCCAGGATCACAGCCCCTCCCTCTTTGGGGCCCTGGAGTTGGGCTGGGGTGGAGACCCCTGGGGCCTGGAAAGGGTACAAGAGGGGGCCGGATACCTGGGCACCTTCCCCCGCAGGCTTCATTGGCCTCGACCCCCTGCCCCTCATTACATAATTAACTCCTCGGCCTGATTGATCCCCGGCACTTGGACAGGGACGCAGTTTGGCGCTTCCGGCCAGCTGGTCCCCGTTCCCACGGGGGGGAGCCCCAGCTAGGGATAAGCTACCGAGGGGGCGGGGCCTGCACCCTGGGATGGAGCCTGGAGTCCTGGGGCAGACCTTGGCTGCTCAGACTTCCCTATCAGGTGACCCCACCACCCTCACTTGGAGGATGGGGCTTGGAGGGATGAAGCAAGAAAGGAGGGAACCAGCCGGCTGGAGGGAGGGAGCCTGAGCAGATGGTTAAACGGGGCCCTGGAGCCCGCAGCCGCAGCCGAGGGCCAAACCCTGGAGCCCTTCCTGGTTTGCATGTTCCACCCTCCCTCAAGTCTCAGAAGTTTACAGATCTCCTCAGCTCCAAGCCTCCATCTGGCTGGTGCCTGGGTTTTCCAAAAGGTCCCGTGCTGGGGGGCCCTGGGAACTACACTTCCCAGCAGACACAGCGCCAACTTAGCCACAGAGATCAAGAGGTGCCGTGGGGGCCGCCTGGCGGTGGCAA